ATATATATATATATATATATATATGTCATATAATATTTGCATGTATACACATCCTCCACTACCTCATTATCTTAGTTCTTTGTTAAAATATATTGCTTGAATTTTTAATTGCTTATTTATGAATATTCCATTCTTGTGAATCATAATTGATGATTAGGCATTTTGTGTTTTACTCCTTATTTCCATTTTGTTCCATTTCTTTTCTGGAATTTGTCTTCATTTGCATCAATACTCTCCTCTATTTCAAAGATGAAAGACGTGAGAACTACAGATATTTTCAAGCTAATCCCAGTTCTCATGTGTATGTATAGTACTCACACATTTGAGATAAATTACTTGGCAGGCACATGATGTATCATCTCAGAAGTCCAGGAAGCTTAAAACAGGACTTGGGGCTATAAGCAGTAAATGGAATGCCTGTAGAATCAACTCTAGTGTGGTTATTCATGTTCAAGTGTTCCTGGGGGCTCATTCAATTCCTAACTCTATTTAGAAACTGAGTTGATACTATAGGCTTTATGAGTTTGGAAAGGACAGATGGCTTTATTTTGGATTGTTAGGCATTTGAAAAGTCCCATGAGAAAGGTCTCGTGAGACAAATAGCAATTCAATAAACAGTACCTTATAGATAATGGTATTTTATGAGACCCATTCTGTCATAATAAGGCCCCTGCGAGTTATTCTTCCACCCTGGAGACATCTTCAAATTGGAGCTCAAGTCTCTACAACAAATGTTTTGGGGGTTGGGGTCAGTGCCTCATTTGCTGTGGATTCCAGCCTCTCAATTTGATATTGCTAAACATAATGAAGATCTACTCATGTAAGTGCAAAGGCCAGTCTGTCTTTTGGCAGTAAATGCACAGCTGAGAAAATTATTCCTCTATCTGGAAATTACCTTAAGGGAAAATCATTTTTTGTTAAGTATGAAGTCTTAAAGTTGATACAGACTTTAGCGATCTGCTTATTCAGACTGCTGCTTTCACAGACAAAGAAACTTTGGTACAAAAGGTCTGGAGACTTCAACAGCCACAGAGCAAGTTAACGGAGAGTGAATCGTGGCCCCAAGGCCTCACTGTCCAGTTAGATGCTCTACCCAGTGTACTATGCTGGTTTGGGTGAGGTGATGTCTATGCTGCCGAAATTCTTTTGAGACTGATTTTAATCTTATTCAGTCTACTTGTGAGAACATAGCTCATACTCGTAGATTTATTCTCTGAGGCAAGTTAGTAATTAATCTTTTGTTAATACAAAACAGGAATCGGCCTCCATATAAAAAAAATTCCATGAAATATGTTTTTCCCAACATATTTAAATTTTACTAAAATGAATGTGAATTGTTAGAACACTGGATTTTTGGTCTACGAAGGTCAAGGATGAAAACAAGCTAAATGAACAAAGTGTGGGAAGTTCATTATGAATACAGGGAATTTTTTTTTTTTATAGGTTTTTGCTATAGGGTGCATGCGCTTGCCAGAAAGACAGAGAGAGACGGAGAGACAGAAAGCAAGAAATTACCCCCAAAGGGGGATGGCCACGCTACAATCCCTTCTCCTCCATTCTCCTCTCAGGATCTTGGGCACACACGCACACACGTCCAGCGTGAGTTTCCCTCCAGGTCTGGGAATCGAACTGTGGTTGACTACAAGGGTGTCCAGAGACATAGCCATTATGTCAACTGCTGGCCCCATAAATATAGGGAATTAACCGACCTAGAGAGTGATGAAAAAATTCAACTCAAAACCTAACACAGCTGTTAAATGCCTCTCAGGTGTGGTTCTCGAATTACATGTAGTGAAGGGCTTTATTATTTTCAATTCACGGCAGACCTAACTGGGGTCCTAGAGCACATGATTAGTATATGACCCATAGCACATGTGGCTGACCATTGTAGTACTCAACAGCACCCAATGTGGTTTAAACTCAAGGAGAAGAGAGACAATACACTTGGTGCTCCCAAGAATATTCAATAGCTGCAGCATTTCTAAGCTCTTACTGTCAAGTGTTTCCCTTATTTCATCATAGCTTGGTAACAAATTATTCTCCAAACCAGCATGTCCTTCATGCTACACTTTCAGTAGCTCTGCTCTGGGAAATAAACGTCATGGATTTAAATCCAACAACATCTACTTCTTCATCCTTTGAGTAAAAGGTTGTTGTTGACTTGAATTTTCCAAGAAGCTACCAGGGAAATCGCGTTGGCATGGACTCATTTGAAACGTAGAGGGTAGAACTTTTTCTGAAATAAAACCGTTACTTGGGGTGGGATAGATGAAGATCTGGGCTTCGTTGAAAAGTCCTGTGATCCTTTGTTGTTCTTACCGCAGCACGCTTCTGCCTTGTTAAAGTTCTCCTTTATCATCCAGCAGTTAGTGGAGTTCTATTGTATTCTAGCATTTAGAATTATATGCTACTTGTGGTGCAGAGTAGCTCAGAGTTCTCAGGAAAATCCTACATGTGGTTAAGAAATAACCCTTTTACTAATTAGAAATAAACCTTTTACTATTAGAAATATCTTCAGTGGAAGTACCTCAGGATAGTGTTTTTCACCCCTGGAAACCTACAAGGAGAGCTTCATATTTGGAAGAGTTTCACTTAAGTGCTATGGTTTGAATGTCTCCCCAAAATTCATGTGTTGAAATTTCACTATATTGCAAAAGTATTAAAAAAAGACTAGGGCCAGCCCTTGGTCAAGTGGTTAAGGTGGCTTGACCCCACATGGCTGACTGCATGGTTTGAGTTTCAGGGCTAGTGACTGAAAAACATACCAGCTGTGTGTATATGCATGCCCACTATTCTGAAAGGAGGAAGAAATGGAGAAGAAGGGGTTGTGTCATAATCGTGCCTCATGGGGATGGGAGTGGTGCTTTCTCCTATTCCCTTTTTCTTTCTCTCTGTCTCTCTTTCTTGCCAGTAAGCACACATGTCACCCGGAAAATTAAAGAAAAAAAAAACAAAAACAAGATGAGACTTAATCTGATTACAGTGTTGAAAGGTGGATCGTTTGCTAAATGCCTAGGCATTAGCGTAGCACCCCTGTGATTAAATCTGATGGGTTTATAAGGAAAGAGAATGAGACAAGAGAGAGACACATGGACACAGGTACACACACTATTTCGTTCACAATATAATGCCCTGTAAAACCCTGGGACTTCAACAAGAAGACTCTCATCAGATGTAGTTTCCTAACTTTGGGACTTCAAAACTGTGAGCTAAATAGGTTTCTATTCTTTTAAACCACCCAGTTTCAGGTATTTTCTGCTATAAGAAACAGAACAGATGAGAACACTTAAGAATCCTGCAACCCCCCAAGTTCTACTCTTTAGAACAACCTCTGTATATTGCTCATGCAGTTCCTCAGGTCAGGGATGGTAAGTGACACACAGAAGGTATGAGCTGGTTAATGAAAGAGACACCACATTATTGAGGGCTTTTTCCTCCTTACTCTT